GTTTCGAAGACAAAATAAAAATGTTCTGCATTAATTGCAATAAATAAATACCGCGTGTGCATTTAATTCTTTCTTTAATAACTTCAACAAGTTAAAAACATTACATCGATACACACATTACAACGATGCATAAAATCCGTAGTCGAGTAATGATAATGTACAGCATACCCTTTTATCACTAAATATGCATCAAACTCATCGATAAACAACTTGTGCGCAATGTTTATTCGCAGCATTGATCAACGCGAAACATGTATGAAGTTTTTCAACTTAGAAACGTTCCATATTCAACTAATTTCTTATCCCGTTAACTATTTGCGCTCTAAATAATTCCAATTCCAAACGAGTGTTCCAATAAAAACTTCTGTGCAAATCGAATCGAACGATTTAATAGCTTGTTCGTTTGACGTGTTTTCGTCTCCAATATATAAATGAGATAATACATAAACATTTGCTTCTATCGATAAACCCTAAGTGTATACCACCATTAATTCCAGTCAAACGAATGATATTCGAGATAAATTCACGAGAGAAAATATTCATTTACATAAGAAGGCACGCGTTCCTTAAAACATAGAGGTACAATCGTGCTCCCACCTTGCAATCGCATTACACAGTTTTTTTTTTACTGGCAGAAACGGAAAAGTGTGCCAAGGCGAAATAAATAAACTACATTGATCTCGGGCATACTGATATACTCATTAATATTTTCTGATGTTCGTTTAGCGTCGTACAAAGGCCCAACAGCGATCCGAATTGCTTAATATAGCTACGGAGAAATGATTTTTGAAGTACGTACAATATCAAAGTCTGCTCGCTCGTTGTTTATTTTAGATAAATTTCTCTAAATCCCCGTGAAGGGAAAATCGTGCCAATTTCTATACGCGAGGAAAATCATGAGCACCGTGTTTTCACTGTTCGCACAGAATAGTGTCCTCAAGCTTAGCAAATTATTTGCAAATGGTTTCTCCGGAAAGAAAACCTTGTTCCCAAACATCGTATGCAAAGCTGAAAATCCATACATAATGAATGAGGACAGGTGACGCTAGTTTTGCTATACAATATAAAGAAACTAGCGACGAAGTATAAATAGGGTAAGACCAGAAGAATCCGATCACTTTCTGAAAACAGAATCGTATTGCTGTGATTTTTCAGAATTTTATCGTATTAACCAAATTACAGCAATGTCTATGTAATTTAACATACGTATAAACAATATTTTGCGTCAAATTAAAATATATACTACCATTTTCAAGCAAAAAACAAAAATACTGTAAGTGGACGATCTCACCCGTATCACCGGGTTAGGGGTCCGCTTATTACGAGTGAGAGCGACCTCAAAAAATAACCTTGACTGTAGCTTATGAAAAGTGTTATAAATAAAGAAAGTAATTCTTGCGTTATTTCTTTCTTCAGCTTCCCACATAAATCACAAAAATTCTCAAATCTGGAGCATCCCTCTTGATACCATCGACTATACCTCACACATTTAAGCCAGTCGTCACTTTTAGTGGTTTCGAAATAGCCCTCTCCGCATCTCACGCGTTCATTTTGTTTCCATTCTTCTTCTTGCAAAACTGGATTATCTCTGCTTGAGACGAATGATTGTTCTAATTGTTTTCTACCCTTCCCTTATGTTCTCCCCCCTTTTAATTGAAACATTCCTATGTTTCTTTATAGTTCCCTTGTTCTTCTTTATCTAAATGTTCCCTGAACTGTTTATAATGTTCACAAGTTGCCTACCGCGTTTTCTGACTATATACTCGCTTCTTCAAAATTCTGCGCTGTTTGAAGAACTATATTTCAATTATATTGTATTTAAATTACATTATGTTTCGATTACGTTATATTTGAATTACACTCGTGATTAAAATAGCTAGCAATTCAATCAACCGAAATGTTTCAATCATGTAATCGTATTACAACGTAGTCGAATTACTATATAATTGAAATACAATGAAATTAAATTACGAAATAGAATTGCAATGTAATTGAATTAGCACAACTCTAGCTACAATATTCGTCGCAATAACTAAAGGAATCTCTTAGAGACGGAAGTTTCCGACGATCTCCATAAGAATTTTATCACGAGAAAACAAACTCCCCGTTTACATTGTGTCCGAATCTGGACTGCAGCTTTTGTACGAGTCCAAAAAGTTGGGTTCCGCTGCTTGGTAATATACTGTCACATCGTGCGGCCAATGTAAATGCTTTTTTGCAGAAAAACAAGTTATAGCGTCGCACTATACTATACTTGCCAGACATAGCGTTAACAGACTTAGCATCGTGAAATTGTTTCTTGTTTTCGTGGCTTAAAATATCCGCGATACCATCAGAGACGGTTTTGACAATATTTCTGTCAGTCAAACGCTGTGACCGGCATTTTCAACGTTATCAAACAAAAGAACACGGTGCAATTCTACTAACGCTACAGAGAGAAAATGTATTTTGTATCAGGGAAAGTTATCTTTTCATGAAAACAAGATCTTTGTATTCTGATTTTTCCGGTTGTTTTTTTAGATGTGCCATAACGCATATACTTGCTATAGAACTATGTCAAGAGTAAAAACACATTAGCTCTGAAAGCTACCGACATTTTTCTTTTAAAATTGTTCTAATTATAAAGACAATTTGACGGGGAACAATTGAATTAATTCAGACCTATTTAAAGCTTTTAGTTTAAAAACTAGATAACTTACAAATACAATACCGAAGTATGTTAAAAAACTGAAGTGACAAAACCGAACAGGTAAAATTTTAATTAGTGGGATAATTTGACGAATTTAGAATAATTGAGAGAAAGACCTATTAAAATTATTGAAAAAAGAACGTAGCTACATCTTGTATTTTCACACAGACAATTTTATAAAAATCCGCGATCTAGCAGATCAGATTCGTTCGGTATTTTATTAAAAAATTATAAGAAAAATGTGAAATAACAACGAATCGATTTTTACATTTACTTACTCAAGCTATGTTTACTTAACTCGATCATAGATGCGAATATCATTCGTAGATGTGAATACCTGTATTTTCAGAAACGGAAGACATTTCGAACTGGAGCTAACATATGAGCCGTTTATTTTAAAAATGGCATAAGTTACTTTACCGTAACGAAAAGTGGTGATTTTTTAATGTCTATACGAAATTATTTACACTGAGAAAAATATCAATATCCTGAGATAACAAATACAAGTAAATCTTCTCGAAAGTTAGCATCCATATTTTTAAACGTGTTAAAACGCAAACCCTTAAATATATCGACTTAAAAACAAAGTGATTTATGCCACTTTCAAAATAAACGGCTCATATGTAGATAAATATTCCCAATCAGTCTGTTGCCATTTCGTATTTTTCATATAATTTATTAACCTCTTGCACTACAACAAGTCAGACTCGTAATGAAGATTTCATACGTGGTCTACTGAATACGAATGTTATTCTTCTAAAGCGAAACAAAAATTGATTCTTCCATTATTATAGTCTAGGAATTCAAGTAAATGGAGCCATAGAAGAAACAAAAAATGTCTCGTTCTATCATGAAGATTATTACGTATGAAGAATTACCGATTAACGCAGCTGTGAAAGAAATCGTAGTTCAAGGTGTTAATAAAGTCTTCTTTTCGAACCTATATTTCTATAAGATTTTCTTCTTATTTCATACAGTTATACCGAAATAACCTGGGACACCCTGCATGTACGAGGCAAACGTCCTGCTTGTGTCATCAAAGAAACCATGCCGTGCCATGGAAATATTTCTGCCAGCAATATCAGTTGTGCCAGAAAAAAAAATCATATTATAAGAGAGGACTGCCGCATATTTCCCAAAATATATACCACATTATTGGTGAGTCGACTGTATCTCTGAAATGAGAAGAGCGCCGAAAGTGTTTCGGATTAGATAGACGCAGCGTGATAGCGTGACCAGGTACCATCCAACGATCAGAATAGCCGAGGAGGCTCCGAAGAAGACAGAGATCTGATTGCTCACCAATTTCATGTGTGGAAGCTCCCAGTAATCCAACAAGCACCACTCGACGGGAAGCTTAACGGGATTTGCTGTGGCCGGTACCACAAGGTTTCCTATGAAAGCCGCACTCCGCGGGTCGAGAAATCGTGTCGGTTTCCTCGCGATAGAAAAACGAGCAAGCAAATGTTTACGATACACCTGTCGCGGGTAATAGATGTCACGCGCGTGGTTCCGTAGTTTCACGGTTTCACAGGCACTCGGCGTCGATGATGCACGCTTTCACCGATAGGGCACTTCCCTTCACGAATGGAGAACCATGGAAAGGGACCAGGTCTCTCCGTGGTACACGAAGAAAGTGCCGAGCCTCGTCCTCGACGTCAGCCGCGTTCGACACGTGGTTCCCGCGACACGGCGAAAAACCGTCGCTCGGCCGATTCTTTACGTAACACCTGTATGCTCCGGCGCGGACCGAGGAGCTGGTTTCCCGTCCGTGGAGCACGTGAACTCTGCCGGATGGCAGAGCTCGCGAGGGGGCCGAAAAAAGAACCGTGCGTCGAACGGTCGCCTGGGACCCCTTTGTGTCAACGTTCGTCCTTCGAGACAACGGCGAGCTCCTTCGTGACGTTTCTCGACGTTACCATCCGTAGCATCTCGAGGACGCAATTAACCCAGGCCTGTTGCCCCATCGATAAGAGATCCTCGTGTCACGCAAACACGTGGTCGATCTCGCGCGCGATCAACGTCGCCAATGATCCACAGCGAGCGGAGCAATCGTTTACGGACCGCTGAAAGAATCCGGTGATCGCGAGCCGATCGCGGCGATCGTCGTCGATTTCAGAACAACGAGAATTAATTGGCTGCTGAGTGGCGACCGATCCGGCGACCGATAGGGACCCAAAGACGGATAAGGTTTGTCCGCGCGGCCCGTCAGCGCGTATCGATCGATACGCTAGCGATCATGGACCGATCTGCGGCTGCGATCGGCCGAGATAATTGCGTGTACCGGCTGGTAAGAAACGAGGCGGAAACGAGGTGGCGTGCTCGATCGGGAGTCGGGAGATCCGGATCGAAGAAATTCTCCGGATCGGCGACATGAAAGTGCCACCAGCCGCGCGTCGGCTCGCGGTCGCGTCGCGTCGCGTCGGTGCACGCTGCAGAGAAAGGGAGAAAGAAGGAGGAGAATGAGAGAAAGGGACAAAAGCGGGATGCGTGCGATACGGCCCGCGAACGGTGGAGGGAAGAAGGAATTGCGACAGACGGAGCGTGAGATCGCGCGAAAGGTCCGCGCACGACTATCGACGCCAAGTGACGGGTGATTAGAATAAGGTCTTATCAGCGTGAGCGTGCACGAGATACTGAACCACGGCACGGGGTATCCAGTGCCGGGGCCCCTCTTTTACCGTGCAGAAGAGTGGAGGGACAGACAGGTGCTCCAGCTTCTGTCTGTCTGCCTGTCTGCTCGCTTGTCCGCCCGCTTGTCCGATGCGGTTGCTCCAACGTTTAGGCTCCGTTCACACCTCTACTCGATACCGAATCGGCTATTGAGCGATGTCTTCGAGCATCGGAGTCGGCACGGCTCTATCGTAGGATGCGGTTAACAGGTGTACGCACCGCGAAACGCGCCGATGCACTGCGGGGCAGACGCGCGTCACATGCGGTAAAATGCATCTTATGCGTCCAACTGATTTCTTTATTTTACATGGCGTGTTTAGCTTATTTCTTAGTCATTCCTGATGCTAGGCCAGTTACGCAATTATCATTTTTACGTGCTGTCGTTTCGCTTTATTCTTTTTAAACACCAGATCTTAGGTTTCATTTCTCAAGTGCCTTCTAATCCACTGGGATCTTTTAAATTTCGTAGACGTGAATGTTTTAGCTGATAATACGGTAGTATGAGCAAATTAGGTAACATTTGTGGACCATGTTCTTCGTGTATTCTTTTTTTTTTTTTAAATAAGTACAGTAATTTCTCCCTAATTCGCTCTCAGATTGCTCACATAAGTGGACAATTTTGAAAGAGAAGATACGATTGTTCGAGCCTTGCGGCTCGTTTTTATAGTTACCGATTGTCAACGACTATAGAAACGAGCCGTAAGGCTCGAATAATCGTATCCCCTCTTCCCAAATTGTCCGTTTTTGTACGCTATATGAACGCGAATTAGGGAGAAATTACTGTAGTCAATTTTTTAAATTAGATTTTATAAGTTTTATTGATCAGTAAGTACGTTGACATTTTAAGTAATATATAAACTTTAAGGTGGGGTAGAACAATATAACATATTGTTTTAACGAGGAACTTAATGATGCTTCATCTATTTTTTCATCGTTATCGTCGTCTGCCTTTTTTGTGTTCTTCCTCCAAAATTGGGTGGAACATTTCTATTGCGAGTGAAGTGTTATAATGTATAGTGAAAATTAATATTAAAAATATTAGTAAGTAATATTAGCTAAAGTTGCAAATTGGTTAATAAATACACGAATAAATCCATGGAACTAAGCATATATATTTTGTAAACAATTAATACTATTAAGGAATAGTTAACCTGTATCACGTAATTAATAATACAAAAGTATGTATTATTGGATCCCCTAAAATCGAAGCTGCTGCAAAATTTTAAAAAACTGTGAAAAATAGTAATGAAAAATTGATAGTTTTACGACAATACAGTCCAATTATAAAATTTAAACTTTCGTCTTTTGCCCCTATATCCAACATTACTATAAGGTCGTCTCACTATGTGACGACTGATTAGATCTACAGAGATCTAATCTGCTTGGATTGGCAGTATAGTGCACGGACATCGGTATGAAATTATTAAAGATCGATTGAAATCAGATTAAGCGTATGCACCGAGAGATGAATTGAAACCGATTCTCGAAGTACAACAAGATTAGCAGAAACGACGCGACACCCAGTTCTCGATCTTCAAAAATCGATATAGCTTCTATTTTTTCCCATTGTATTCTCTTGATAGATCATCTATGAATGAATTATTGAAGATGGATGAATTCAGATCATGCGTATGCATCGCGAAATGCATCGATACATGAAGATAGACCCTCGAAGTATCATCAAGATCGGCAGTAATGATGCTCGCTTGACGATCTTCAAAAATCGATATTGTTCTCATTATGTATATTCTCTCGATAGATCATCTATGAATAAATTATTGCAGATGGATGAAGTCGGACCAAATGTATGCACCAGAAACGCAGTAAAACTTGAAGACAGCCAGTCGAAGTGTCTCCAAGAACTTTTACAAGAACGATACTCAGTGGTCAATTTAATTAGAAGGAAACGACAGGTATTGCTTCGATTTAGTTTATCAATGCAGCATTAATCTATTATTTCGATTCTTTTAATAAATCATCCATGAACTGAAACTAGTTGGGCTTATGTCAAGGTTATTTCAAATTTAAAAAGAAGAAAAACGATAGGTGTCGCTTCGATTTAATCTCTATTATCTATTAGAATTATTATAATTATAATAGATATATTATTATAGTCTATAATATAATCACTCAATATATAATATCACATCAATATATAATAATAATCTATTATTATAATCTATTATCTAATCGCATTAATCTATTATTTCGATTCTTTTAATAAATCATCCATGAACAAATTATTGAAACTGGTTGGGCTTATGATATGTATGTACTTCTTTAACTGCTACAGGGGATCTACGTGAGTTTAATCTTTCGTTCTTCCATTGTGAACTTGAAGTCATTATTTTAAATAATAACTTAATTGTTCTTGTGGGACCTATTTTTATGAAAAGTACAACGTTTGAAAGAAATCAGGTGTGGTTCAAGTGCAATTTTATACTGATCAACTTACACTTCGAAAATATAAGCTGTTATTCTTTCAATGTGTGGAAACTAAAATTTGCTTGTTAGTGATTCGTGCGATCTAAGAAAGCTGTGGGTCACATAAAATTTAATTTAATCACGTAACGCACGAAAGTTGTCATTTACAGTCACGTCGGAAAGTATCTTAACACCTTTGTAACGGGTACGCACAGTTTCGTGGGTAATATTCACGAATGTATGTGCGACTTCTACTGAACCCAATGTTCTTTACGAAGGTGTAGTCAAGTAACAGAAAAGAATTGTAGCAGTAGTTTGAAATAAATACAATAAATTCTCCGTAATTTTCCTTCATCTTGTAAATAAAAATGGTGGAAGAGAAGATACTATTATTCTAGTCTTACACTATAAAAATGAACCGCAAGACTCGAATAATTGTATCTCCAAAATTGTCCAGTTTTGTTTAAAAGCTGAAGGAAAATTATGGAGAATTTACTGTACATATATTTAAAAAATTGTGACAAACAAGATACTAATAACGAACGATGAGATGCTAACGACGGATGACGAGATTCTATCGCCAATTTCGTCGGTGTGGACGGTGAAAAAACATGAAGGTGAAAAAATCCTCCACCAAAATTTATTAAAATAGTGGGGCACTAGGCCCACCAATCAGAAATAGCCTATCGGGGCTGAGACGATGAGGGTGGCTTGAAAGTCTGACGTCGAGAACGGTGACAACGCGAACAATGGCACCCGTTGTACCCCATGGAAATTGCAGAAAATAAACTGTCCAGCCTCCTTGTCACCCTGTGTGGGCCTAGATCACATCAAGTGCCATTAAGAGCGGTACGGCTACGCTGACTTTCCCAGGAAAGCCAGCCAATGCCCTTTAGTCGCACTCGAGTCGTAAATTAATAGATTCGTCAAAGAGACACTAAAAAGACTCTGAGAAATGGCATCATCGAAATCGAAATCAATCTAAACCGAAACCGTAAGATAAAATGGTATGACAAGATACGCGTCGCGAATCACATTTTTAAAATTCATGCAAATAACTTAAATTTTTTGAGATGTTAAACCAACTAGCTTTCTAGAGAATGAGTATACCAAAATTTGTATAGGTTGCAACCGATATTGGGATGACAGAAAAATTAAAAAATTATGTTTTTTCAACTCTTTTATCTGAGCCTATAATGAAACTATAAAAAATGAGTCTTGTAGATCTCGATGATTTAAATAGATTGTAAAAACTTCATTCAACGTTTGAATGTTTCAGTTATATGATCTGTTAACATTTAAGTCTTTCACGAATCCTAAGCAAAAACAGGTAATTTTTGTAATGTTTTAGTGTCTGCAATTTGACTATGCGTCGATCGATTACGGTGAATTTTTCACCATGTATTATACATACATAAGTTATCAGGATCTACAAAACGTATTTTTTAAATTTTCTTTTGTAGGCTCAGATAAGAAAGTTGAAAATCGTCAGTTTTTAATTGTTTGGTCATTTCATAAAAAAAAATATTTGTATAGTCCAAATCATTTGGACCAATTTAAAGAAAGTTATTCCGTTTGAAAAGGTGTTAACATACTTTTCGACGCGAGTGCCTATATGACATACAAGAATTATAAATCGATGTTTAAACTCTGTTACGAGCCGAGGGTCAGGCAGCTTTGCGTGGCCGGAGGTTGGATTCGATTGGGATTTTTTATAAGGGAGATTGCGTGGATCAGCCGATGCTTCTTACAGCACAAGTGGCCACCTAGTAATCGGGATAGGATGTGTGGACCAGCCGATGCTTCTTTCAGCACGGGTGGCCACCTAGAGATCAGGATAGAATGCGTAGACCAGTCGATGTTTCTTTCAGCACGGGTGGCTACCTAATAATCAAGATAGGATTTAGGGAAATTGGAGTTAGGATGTCTCGTAACTTTCACAAGAAAAAATGAAGATATACCTAGAGCGGTAAAGGCATATCTCCGTGAGTTTTTCCAACTACTGCTTCGAACTAGGAAATGGAATGATTGAATTTTGCAACCAAAGTAAACAAAGTAAACCAAAGTAAAAGATAGTATATTACAAGTTTTTGGTTTAAATACAAATGTATGTGTACTAATGTTTCGCGAACTCTATATCGCGCTCTCAGTTTGTCGCACTGAATCGGCAGGGGCTTTTAACCTGGTATCTAAACTCGGTTATTTTGCTCGAAAGAGAATTAAACTCGTTTCTTCGTCGGTGATAGATTCGAAACTAGCCCGTTTTCTGGTCGCGTTTGGACCCTTTATATACCCAAATTTTCTTTAGAAAAATTGTAGTGTGAGTGTTCCTATATGGTCCGATTCCAGAACGTTCGTCGTCGTACCCTTTTGAAGGTACTTGACTCGCAATATATGTACAAACGAACCCCCGGCTGGCTGGCGTATGCCTTCAGGAAGGAGTATAAAAAACACGTCGGAAAATTCTCCGTACGTTATATATACAACTCATAACTAATAATTAATAATGCAACTCATTATCACCTCATTACGAAGAGAAAATTGACGTCGTTCAATTCGCCCATTGTAGTAGCTGCTGCGCATGCATTGAAGA